GGGGTGCACACCCGGGTGTGGGATCCGGGTGTGCACCTATCATTTTCCTTTTACAAATTCAATACAATGCAAACTTTAAAACATTTTTTCCTAATCATAATTATAATCGTTTTCTTGAAAATAATTGATTTGGTGGAAGTGAAATAAATAGTATTTAATTTGAGGTGAAGGTTGCTATAATAGCTTTTTTTTTCTTTTTTCTTTTTTCTTTTTTTCTTTTTTTCTTTTTTTTCCTCTTTCATTAAATTTTAATAAAACTAATTTTTACTATAAGGTATTAAATTTAGTTATTTTTTTATTTTTTTAAGATATTATTTAATGCGATTATTTTTATTTAATTTTTATTTTAAAAAGATAATTACAATATATTTAAAAAAATTATTTAAGTAGGACAATTAATTAAGATTAGATATAAAATTTTATCAATTAATTAGTGCATCTCTATTTTATTAGACAAAACCAAGTTTAAGTTGAACGAGGGAGTATTTATTAGGAGGGTTGCATGAATAGCTACAACTCTCTCATTCTTTGCCTTGTCCGAATAAATCAATTTGCCAATTCTCTAGACTTAAGCACCAAGCTGCTGAAAAACTCAAGGTGCATCAATCGTAACCATGATTTTGAAGTATCCAAGGACAAAGGAACCATACCCCATAACACATTTAGGGGTGCTTGATAGACCTTTTTTTAGAAATTTCTTATAAGCAAAACTTTTTTTATGGGACTTAGAAGCAACTTTTAATTTCTTAGGTTTGAAAATTAAGTTTTAGAGGAAAAAATAGATTTTTAGCAAAATATATATAAGTTTCCAAGAAAGTTATAGACTATTGTTTTCTTTAAAACTTGCTTGTATGCATTTTTTTCTCCTAAAAATCTATCTTTTCTTCCAAAACATTTTCAAATTTAAGAGATTAAAAATTGCTTATAAACCATTCCAAGGAAAGGTTTTGCCAAACACTCCTTAGTAAATGGGACAGCTATGATCCTCATCTTCAATTCATCCAAGACATCTTTATTCCACCGAGATTAAAAAAATATGTAAATAAATAAAAAGGACAAATCCACATTATCATCAGGAAATTTAAAAGGCAGCAGAAGTAGCTCATAGGGTGTTTGTAAAAACTTCAAAAAAAAAAAACATTTATTTTAAACATAATTTTTTTAATAAATTTAAAATTTTATTGAGAGAAATTTAAATTTTAGTTTTTAAAATAATTTTGATGTAAATTTTGAGAAATTTCATAGGAAAAATCCGTTTTAGTAGTTTCGTCCCAAGTTTTCATCTAATTGAGTGGAAATCAACTTTTGTATCTTACATTCAAGCAAAACACAAAGCCCCACCAGCCATCTCAATTGGGTGCCAACTTCCCCAGTCAAACTCCCCAAATCCAACTTATATACAATTAATTAAAAATTCAAACCTTCAAAACAAAATTGGAAAAAAAAAATAAAAATAAAAAAAACTTTGAAAAGAATGAAATGGGGATTGGCGGAGAGACCATCAATAATTCTTCGCATTTCAAGACTATAGAACTAAGAGACAAAGTTGGCAGCTGCGTGTCTTTTTACTTTTTTACCCAAATTTAGTTTAAAAGGGTATTTTAGACATTCTACTATGTGACCGGCCTAAACAAGTGTTATTTAGATGCAGATTTAGTTATCGCATTTCCACTATTTGGATTCTCTACTGACCATATGGAGAAAAGGTTGGGATAACCCACTAAAAAAATTTTTTTCCTATAATTTTCTCAAAATGTATTTAAAAATAACTTTAAAAATTAATTTTTAAAATTTCCTCTAATAAAATTTAAATTTATGAAAAAAATTAACCAAAAACCAACTTACTTTTCAAAATTTTCCAAACATCTCTTAAAAATAGTCTTACATGGCAAACCAAGCCAGCCGCCGCCCGTCAAGCATCTATTACTTTATTCTTTCGGTGCGTCTGGTTTGGTAATTTTCTTTGAAATTCGCCTTTAGAGAGTATGTGGGCCCATTTTAAACTTTGTGGACAGAAATTGATTTACTATTGTAAATAACATAAAGAACCGACCATAATTAACACATTAAACAAAAATATAATAATATTAAGCCCATATATTAAACTTTCTGCCTAAAACTTGAGTTACTATTGTAACTAACATAAATAACCAACCATAATACATGAAATAAAAATATAGTAACTTGTTATTTGGAGAGTTAATTAGTTATGAACCAAGTTTCATTTTAAAAAAAGTTAAAAGTCAATTTTAGTGTCTAAACTTTTTATTTTGAACATTTTTTATCCCTAAACTATTTTCAATACTTTTTTAATTTTTTAACTTTGAAGTTTACACTGTTTTTGTTATTCCATCACTTAAGTGATGATCTAACCCCAATTGCCGTTAACTCATTTAATATTTTATTTTTTAATGACATGTCCATTATAAATAGGTTTTTTTATCTTAGATAAAGTATGTAGCGTCCATGTTGATAATTTAACTTAAATGAAAAAATTAATAAATAAAAAAATAAAAACTATCCACCAATTAAATTTATTTATAAATTAAAATATTAAAACTTACAAAATATTAAAAATAATTCTAAAATCCTTTTCTTTCTCCTTAAATTGCTTTTTTCCCACCAAAAACATTTATAAATAATGAGTCCACATAACCTAATTTAATGATATGCCGTTACCATATCAACAAAAAAAAGTGCTATTTTGGATTGAGTTAACATCCATGTCATCACTTAATTGAAAGAAGACCCCCCAAAAAAAGTACAATTTGTAGAATTGAGACATCAAAAAGGTGTTAAAAATAATTTAAGGACAAAAAAATACTAAATTAAAAATTTGGAGATTAAAATTGACATTTAATCAAAAAGAAAACAAAAACAAAAAACCAATTGTGAACCAGGGAAACTTTTCTTCCCATGATCTCAAGGAAGGAGGTTTAATTTCTACGTTTGAGCCACACAAAATTTTGGCTTGGCTTTCCCAACAATTTCTAGAGGCAAATTACCAAACACGCCTAAGGTTATATTTGGCTGAGTCTAAAGGCTTATTTAGTTGCTAATAGTATTTATTAAAAATAATTATTTTTT